CATACAAAAATACCGCACATCTAGTAAACACTCGAGGATTCACGAACGGACATGAATTTTCTAGAAGCTCATGATGTGTTACTAGAGTCACATGACTTCCGCTGTCGTAACACTATTATCATTACTTTTTTAACAAGAACGAAACAGCGAAATAAGTACAGTCATTTAGATTGCCAAAACAGAAAAAAACAAACAAACAGAAGTTATGTTTAAAATTTTCGTTTGCTGTTACTCAGAAAACACAGTCCTTGTCTTCCAAATTAAAGCGAACGTTACTTAATTAAGAAACGCCATTAGAATATACTAGATACAGTTAAAACGGTTAAAAATAAGGTTGTGATAAACTGTCAAAAAATACTTGACTTGCCATCATCACATTCACAATAAACAACAAAAGGAACAGTTTAATAACATGTTGTGTGAAATTATTCAAAAGCTAATTGCAGAAGAATAAAATCATGTAGAAATGCTGTTTTCTAAAATAAGTACTTTGGGAGAATTTTCATACAGGTTTTCTGCAAGTAGATATGACATTCTTGTTAACTGGCAACGTCTCTTTCATAGAAACTTTTATCCATTTGACTCTGTGTGTGTGTGTCCATCTCATGGAGTGACATAGAAACTTGTACAACGTGGTATGAGTTAAGGATCCTCGACCTTGTATATGTAATTTAGAATAGTCAGTGGCGTAAGTAATTCCTTAGCTTATGGGATACTGCACTTGGATCCTTTGTCTGACTTGAAAATGCAGTATAATGTAGTTCTTCTTATCTCTTTTCTGTACGGACATGAATATATTTATTGATATCCTTGTCTTTTGCAGACGTTTGGAAAGCCTCTCCAGTCTCGGCAGCCAATTTGAGTACAAACAATTAAAAGGCCTGTCAATTCGGAAAATACACAACACTATTTACTGAATAAACACTTTGTGGATTTGTGTATTCGATTTATTATTTTCATAAGATTTCTAGAACTCGCTCTATTGTGGAAAGTTTTGGCTACCTGATGGATATCTGAATACCACACTCGTATTTATTTTTTAGTCATTTTAACTCCATTGTGACTTGCTGACTGGTGATTGTTACCGATGGCCAGTCAAGGGTCTGGCCAAGGAGAGCTATCCATATAGTGTTGCATATCGTTAATGCTGGGTAGAATATGTTACGTATATTTCTAAATACAAATTCAACCCAAACAACAAATTTATTTAAAAATAAATACATAATAATAAATTCGTTACAACTCCCCCCCCCTTAGAGAATTAAAATTGGATTCAGACAATTTTTAATTAAGTCATTATATATATATTGTTACGACACCGTCAGTCACGTGACCCTAGTAACACGTCATGATATTCTCGAAGGTTCTTGAATGCTCGAGTGTTTACT